AATCCCACACTCTCTTCGTGAGCCCGCGTGACAGGCGACGAGCGTAATTGCCTCCGAAGGTGGACTCGAAGTGCTTGCCGGCAACAGGGCCTCCGGCCACCGAACTTCACATCTGCTACATCCAACACTCAGCATCACAGCGCTGGGACGTGAAGGAGCACGAAGCTGGCAAGAGGTGCCGCAACTCCTGCAAGAGCATGGGTGCCTCCGCTTCGGGATCGCCCTCTGCCCGGTCTTCACCGGGCGCAGAGTCTAAACCGCCCGTCAGCGAAGCTGCCAGCACATCCATCTCCTGAAGCCTGGGCTTGCGTCTGCATCCAATCGCGAGAATGCATCCCCACCGGCCGCCGTCACCCACGAACGGCAATCAAGCGGCAACTCGTCCTTCGTTTTGGGGATGTGTTCCAGCATGATGGTCACCTGCAACGAACCGTCGTAGGTCTCTCGATACAGCTCCGACAAGTCACCAGGGGAAGCCTCGGAAGGTGGACCCGACGGCCGACTGAAGCCAGGCTCGAGTGCGTCTGTCAGCGAAGCTGCCAAGACGTCCACCTCCTCCAGCCTCGGCACCGCACTCGCAACAGCAGTCACGCGCTGCTCGGCTTTCAACGGCACCACAGCTTGCCGCCCGGCGGCAGCTCCTCCTTCGATTTCGGAAGGGGCTCGGCCGGGATGGTTGCCTCGTCCTGCGGTCTCGGTACAATCAAGCGAGAACCTTTGCTCAGTTGTCGCATCGGGAAGGTGGTGAATCCAAGAGTTGAAAAACATCAGCGGCCCCTCGGCGACCACTTAGCCCCGAGACAATTGTGTGACATGTAATTGGCGCATCAGTCTACTTCATGGCCGGTGTGCTACCCAGATGGCACAAGTAGATTACGATTTACTAGTTTCTCTTTGAGTGCTGCAAGACGGTGAACAATCGCATAGGGATTTCGGTGGGTTTAACTTCTCGTCAAAAGCTGTCAACAACGGGACAAGTAAATCAGAGCTAAATCGCCGCCCAAGACCCATTGTTCCCAATGTCAGATTCGTTTGAAAATCTCCCTTGCTGTCACCTGCTTGCATGGGTCAACTTTACGAACCACTGTGTTGTTCACTGCAGGGGCAGGTGACAGACCGGACAGGCAGGGCCACAAAACCGCGACGGAAAACTGACAACACTAAACCCAAACCACTAAGGTGGACCCTAGAGACATGAATCCATCTGCTCTGCTCGGCGGACAAGCCTCCTTGATGAGCCCTTCAAACACAGCACGTCTCAGACATCTATGGTAGCATCGATCCGAAAGACCACCAAATCTGCAGAAATATGGGTTCAGGGGTGAAGGGAAGGATGGGCCCACATGGATTGACGTGGGACGGGTGTCCGGATACCACATAGATTTAGATACCAAATCATCTCTGTACTTACGGGCTTGACTTGACCTACTCCCTGAACTGTATTGTGAGCTACGTATTTAGAAAAACCCTCTGCACATCACAGTGAAGTCGTGAACTGAACTGGGGATCTTGGATGCAAGCTCCGAACATGTAGTGAGGATCTCCTGCTCGCTTCAGCCAGAGTTAGAATAAGCATCCTGTGCTGTTTCGTGAACTCGATTGTTATGACTGGCTTATATACGGAATATTTACTTCAAACTTTACCAACACAAACCATCCAATTAGTGGATGGTTTAATCGGGTATCCTGGTAGAGACTTCACACAGAATTCGAACGAGAGTCTGCTAGTATGCAACAAACACCGTTCTCTGACGGAAGAGACAGAACGCAGCCACACGAACAGACAAGCAGTTCAATCAGGATTTGACTCAACTGTTTATTTGGCGTATGCACAGGCATGTACTCAAAGCCTGGCTTGCAATTCCCGGAGTCCTCTGAGAAACGAACCATGGCGGCGGCGTCCACGGATGCAGTTCCCTGTTGTCGTCATGCCAATGGCCAAACACGATGCTCATTTCGGCACTTCTTCTGCAGCAGCATCCAGCTCGCATTGACGAAGCCACGAGACGCAAGAACTGAATTTGTTCCAGCAGGGGACAGGCTACCGAAGACCCGCTGAAGGTGCCTGCGACACCACCACTGACATCGCTTCTTGCGGGGTGTCCTGAGCTTGGCAGGCGGCGTGCACCAGCTCCTCGCGAAGTCAGAAGAGAAGTTGCCAGGACCTCCCACCACATTCGGACCTT